GCTGGAAAGAATCGTTGAGAGTTCGGTCTTCTGTTGTCCGGGCAACCTTTGCATCGTCTCTGCCACTGCGGCCCGGGTCGCAGTGGACAGCCCGCGCACGAAGTAGTGCGCGAGAGCTTGTTCTGAGAACACGGCCGTGCATCGGAACGCGGCGGATTCCAGCCGGTCTGCGAACGTGTTCTCGGTTTCGTGAGGAAGCTGTCGCGCCGACGCGACAGCATCAAACGCTTCCCCCAACACGTCGTCGGTTAGGTAGCGTTTGATAAATTGGTTGACGAGACCAGGCCAGCTCGTGTCGTCGTGGAGCTGGCCGGCGCGGAGGCCGCGCATGGTGTAACTCGTATACAACCGCTCCGCGTCCCGCTCGAGGAAGTGAGCGAAGACACGGATTGCCACACCTTCGGTCAGGTGCTGGGCATTGAAGGTTATCCGGATATCCTTCAGAAACGGGAGCAACTGAATCGCGTCAGTACCGTCGAAGCTCTTCATCGTGGGACGGAGCCCACGGCAGCGTTGGACGTACTTCGCGATCCGTCCCGCGTCACCCGAGGTAACGAGCCTCGAGGTGTTGTCCAACCGATACATGCGGTAGTTCGCGACGGCGCTGAACTCCTGTATCATGGTGTGGACGGGCTCGAGCCCGGGTTCGGCGGGGCCCAACGTTCCGAACGGCGTGACGGGCAACGTTCGGACGTCGACGGGGCCGGGATGCGCGGTAAGATCCGCTGGCTGGTAGCCGCCCCAGCGAGGATCGAAGGGGAGAATCGGTTCCCCTGATCCGCGGGCGACTCCTCCACGGCCACGGTCGGGTTCGTCCGGTACCCGTCGGGACTGCCGCATGCTTCCGGATGCATACGGCAGGGCTTGAGTCTCGGACGCGAAGTTCGCGTCGGCCGTCGGCTTGATGTCCTCCGCCCTCCGACTGGTGACGGCTCCAGTCGGGGGCCACTCCTGCGCTCCGGATGCGCCCGGAGGAACAGTGGCACCGGGCCCACTCGAGGGGGCTCCGGGCGGCCTCTCGGCCGAGGTCTGTTCCATCTCACGGGCACGGCGGCGCGTTGAGTTGAGCTCCGCCGCCATGTGCGCGAACGCTCCCATCTGTTCGGCTGATGGGAAGGGTTGCGGGTCGCGTCGGACCCCGGAGTTTGCACTCGCGGGTCGACCCGCAACGTCCACGGCGGGGGAATCGATGCGCGCCTCTTCGACCAGTACCAAACGGGACTGTAGCTGGTCGACGAGAGCGCGCAGGTTCTCCAAGGACTGAGTTACGCGCTCAAACCTTCCTTCGCGGAGGGAGCGCAACTCATCCATACAGCGGGCGTAGACGCTGTCGGAGACGTCAATACGGAGGGATGTTCGGACATCTTCGATATACTCCGCGATGCGATCGTACATCGCGCGAGCGCGTCCTTCGGAGAAGTCGAGCGACGGTTCGCGGTCTCGGAGACCAGCGTCGCCGTCGCCGACTCGGACGCGGAGCGCGGCCTCTCGCACATCGGCGGGCTCCGAGCGAATCGAGGTGGGATATTCGCCACTCATCTCGACGCGTACGGACGCGGAGGTAAACAATAGTCTTCTCGGTTCGATCTTGAGAGTCTTCTAGGTCGGGAGATCACTGTAGTATAATCACCCCCAACGACGAGGGGGGTGAGTACTGACAGTTCGGAAAGACCCCGATCGGCGGGAAGACAGAAGCACGGCCCACCCACGGTACCGAGCACGGGCTCGAGGTAGCGGTGGTAGAGCGAGATCGGGGAGGACGCGCGCACGCGCGAGCGGTTCTACGCCTCGACGCCCCGGAGCGGTACTGGGTGACGTTCCAGTACCGACGGGCGGAGGCGGAGCCGGCTCGTGGGCGTGCTACGCGCGTCCTCAACCCGCTTGCGGTGCTGCTTCTAGGTAAAACGGACGGAAGTACCTAAAAGTAAGCGGGCGGACCAAGGTGGAGGACCCTTGACAAGTCCGTGCTTGTCGTCCTCCACCGCCGGCGGTCCGCTCATATTTAATGTACATCGTAGTCTATCATAACTCTACAGTAGTGCCGGTCTACCGACACTGTAGCGCTGTCAGCCGGCGGGGCTGACAGTCCACGTGTAGTACGCGTCCCGTACACGTGGAGGACACGTGTGCGCGCACATGGCTGTAAGGCTCGTTGCCTTACTGTCCCTGATCCAATCCTAATCTAATTTGCGTTTGGGGTTATACCACACAGTGCACCTCATCAAACACAGTACATTCCCGTCGTACTCTCTAAATTTTATGGATCCGCGCACAGATGTTCCCATAATCATGAAGATAAATGCCCGATGGATTCAGACATTTGCTGATCGTTTTTGTATTGTGAGTCGAGCCCATACGGGAAAGCTGTTGACGAGCGCAGCCAAGGAGGCTTTCATAGAAAAGGAAGTCTCTTTTCATCTCGGGCAGCTTTGTCGTGAGTTTCACGCTGGCACACTAAACGAAGGCGATGTGAGCAACGCTGATGAGACACACTTTGTGATCAACTATGATAACGGGCGCACGCTGGGATTTATGGGAAATGAAGAAATTAAGTATGCAGATGTGGCATCTGGAGGAGAGGGAATGACTATGTTGGTAAAGCTCAGTAGAGGTGTTGAGGCAAAATTCCAGAATCCGTTTATGGTTTTCAAAAATCAATGCCGGAGTTATCCTATCCGTGGTGTACCTGACAATGTCCCAGGTGTCTCCCACCGTAGCGGACCTAAAGTCTGGATGAATTCGCAGGTAATGCATCAATGGATGCAAGAACGACGTGTTATTAGAGCATTGCCAGGTGGCCGAAAGCGCATACTGTACGTCGATAACTGTAGCGGCCATAACAACACAGTCTCACTTTCCCAAGCTGCCATTGGGATTAATACTGAAATAAGATACTTTCCTAAGAATGCCACACATTTAATTCAACCTTGCGATTCTTTTGTAATACAAAAAATCAAGCGAGCATGGTGTACGAGATGGAGGGCATTTAAAATGCAGATGATCATGGAGGGAAGGTGGACGGATGGTTCTGGAAAGCTGGCCGATCCTGGGAAATCTTTTTTCTGAGACTCGCGAGTGCTGCTGTGCGTGAGGTCAATGAGCAAAAGGATAGTGAGGGTATGACGTTTGCTCGCAAGGCGATGGTGAGGACAGGGATGGCTTTAAACACGAATGGTTTATGGGAGGAACGTCAGCTGTTTCCGAAGTTACAGAACATTATCAACAAGCACCGGAACCATTTCAACGGAGAACCAGTTGTACCTGGAACTGTTGGCATCGATGTACATGATCACAATCAATGATGTAGTAGAGTGTAGCAGTTCCAGCAGTTGCTGCCAGTGACGCTAATTTGAAATTTGAAATTAGAGTCACCAACAATAATTAGAAACAGACGTAAAACAGTGTCACCAGGGGAATACTGTCACCGACAGTAAATCATGTAAGTTACCTCAAAAATGTTCCCTGAAAAATACTGTAGGTGACACTAATGACAGTAACTGGGTGTAGTGTCTAGGTGACAAATGACCTCATATGAGGCCATTTGACCTCATATGACGTCACTTTTCAACTTATTTTTCTCGACTTGTGCTAGCTCAACAAGATGGAAAAAAGATACTCTCAACACGGCAGTTGACTTCTGCGTTGTGGAAGGGTGGAGTTTGGTGAGATCTGCATGTCTTCTCCAGCCATTTTTAAAATGCCCAAAAAGGAGCCTTTTTTGACCAACCTCAAAACGTTTTATGTTGATATCTTCGAAACCAAAACGCCTGTTTAAAAAGTCAACTCATCATTGATAGTTCATTAGATTCTTAGTCTCTCTGTGCATTGACAACCGCCATCCCAATGTTTTGCAAGATGTTATTGCCGAGCGCGTATACGTTAAAGAAATGGTGTCCAAACTGAATGTTTTAAAGTTTCGATTTAATTTATATATTTTTGCAAAAAAAAGCTGGCCTCATATGAGGCCATGACTGACCTCATATGAGGTCAAATTGCTTGTCGTCTAGACACTAGACATGTCTATCCGACCGGGGCTTGCCAAAAACGTAAGTAACAAGATGCAATTCTCACGAAGCTCTTTCCGGTGCCGAGGGAGAAGTCATGTACAGTGGCGGGGGTATGTTTTCCTTCCATTTCGACAAAGCGCAAGGCAAGAAAAAAAACATATCGAAAGGTGCCCGTATGTGAGGACAGTTGTCCTCATATGAGAACAATGGTCCGATAGACCACTAGAGACAAGGGCTTTGACAAACTTTCGAGCTTGTTCTTTTCCAGATTGCCTGGTAGGATGGGGTTAGCTGTAGCAGCGCAAAGCAGACTTCTCCTTGAAGAAGTGCAAACATGATGACTCGATCGATACTGCGATACAGAACCATTCAACGCCCATCAGAGCGATGCATGGATCTGTCAGCGCTGACGAGCTACACTCCCGCTTCACGTCCCCCGCATCGAAGCGCAAAAAGTTGCATCTCCCTGTGGGAGCGAGATGGCTGATACGGTACTGTCCCCGGTCACACTTTGACCGCAGTAGATGCCGCAATGACCTTCATACTGTACCAAGCCACTTTAAACAAGACCACAAACGCCATTCGATTCACCCTTTTCGAACAGCATTGTTGTCAATGGCTCTTTGACAGTAAACGCCCTCCTGATCAAAATCCCCAATAATTGCGATGTACGAACCTGCGAGACGCTAACGTGCATCTTGCAGCGGGTCTGACTAAAGAGAGTCTACACAGTAATATACCGTACAAGGTTGTCTGATTCAAAATCTACATATCTCATGTTAACTATGCGTCCCCTGCGGCTTCGTCCTCGAGAATCGCAATACAGGCGTCAAGTCAAGAAAAAATACAAATTATTTCGACGTTTGTGCTCAAAGCTTTGCGATACGACGGGCAAAACGTGCGATAGTGAATAGAAACCACTTTGCACAGGAAAGACGTTACTTTCGTCAAAAAAAATCAATATATGTGTCTTTCGTACACTGCTTGTAGAAAAATAACCGCAACTAGGAAGAGCATGACAGCGCTTCCTGCCGAGATATCTATTTTCTGTCGCCAAGATCGACATCACACTTTGCAGCCTTCATCAGCGCCATTTTGAGACCACCTGACCTTGCATATTCCGCAGTTTCCGTCGCACCACCGACAAAATTTTGTTCAATAAAAACGCGAGGGACCGTTGTGGTGCCGGTCATTCGTCCCAGAGCGGTTTGGACCTCGCGTGCAAAGCTTGGTGGGATGGTACCGTCGTCCAATTCAACAACTGCTGGTGCGGGAGTTGTGCACCCCAACGCCTGCAACTTGTCGGCTTCGAATGAAAGCAACTTCTTTGCGGCTTTGCAGTATGTACAAGTGGTCTTACTGAAAATCTACGCTTGTAAGCAGAAAAGAGCCTTGGGGTTAGGGAAGGGAAAAATAAAAATGGAAGAGAACGTAGGAAGCACCTCTCACTCGAAATTTCTTACCACTACTTGATTTTCGCGGACAGCTTTGTGCACAAACTCGTCCGCGATCCGGCTCGGTGGTATCGGTGGTATCGTTGTAGATGCCGTCTGACCCATCGCCCATGCCCAAGGAAGGCAGCTTTGTCCTGCAAGTCGTACTTGATCAATGCAGAGCCTCAGGGTGGAAGTCTTGCTCCATAGAAGTGCACGTCTGTTTGGGAGGTGCTCTGGCCTTGTCAGATACCAGAGGAACGGGAAAACGTTCTCCACCTATGTCATATACTGTACCTTCGTACTACTACTGTAGAACCAGTCTGTCACGAGGGATCGCAGCCACATTGGCGGCACTGTAAGTCTGATGGAAACAGAATCTACACTGTGCGGTGACCCCAAAAATTTCAAAAAACAACCCTGCATGTGCAGTTTTCAACATTTAAAAAACAATCCCCAACCCCAACTCCAGATGCGATCGAGATTCTAAGCTGTACAGTACATCGCCAGTGTATCGCACAGTTCACCAGGCTCATTTTTATGTCGTCGTTTCACACTCGTCGTTATGTTATACTACGTTACGAGTAGGCAGGCCTGGCGTGGCAGAACTGAAAAATCTTGAGCATTGCTCTTCCCCTTCATCACGAGTATACCGAGCTGCAGAAAACACTCTTGAGCAATAACGATGTTTCCGCCCGCATTTGCAGCAGCGTATTCTTTCCGAACTCGAATCTCGCAGCGCACTCAAATGACCTGCTCTGTTTCGCCAAGGCCAGCGCCGGTGCTGGTCTCGGATGTCCTCGACACCCTCGTCACCGACCCATTCTTTAACGGCATGTCCTCATACTTCGGCTTTCCTTCCTTCCAGGACTTTCTCGATGCCAAAACTCCCGGCCTCTGGCATCAATTCGAAAAGGGTCAAGTCGCAGAACACGAAATCGCACGGACTTTCTTCAAGGATCATCGTTTTGTCGATGTTCCTGAGTTGAAACAGTATCTGAAAGAATCTTATTCCCTCATTCCAGGGATTCCGGCCCTATTGCAAGCACTTCAAGAGGCCGAAATAGAGGTCCACTTATGCACAAATTATCCTGTTTGGGCAGAGTTGATAGAGGATGCCCTGCATCTCACTACTCGATTTGGTGTTCATTGGACATTTATCAGTGGGAAAGAAGGAATCCGGAAACCAGACAAGAGCGCCTTCTGGAGAACAGCACAAAACGCCGGCGTCGCTCCGTCGGATTGTGTCTTTCTCGACGACAGCGAACAAAACTGCAAAGGCGCGATAGCGGCGGGTTTCCTTGCAGCTATTCATTTTAGAAACCCAGCCCAAGCTGGTCAAGAACTTTCAGTACTTTTGGCCGGGTATGATGTCCCATTTCGAAATCCAGTCGGTGCCAAGACTTTCCATACTGAAGTCTAGGGCCATATGCTATCCTGCTCTGTACATAGTCCTTCTCTGGGTGATCTGCATGTCTAAATTGATACAGGGACTATGTCCCATTAATTAAAGGATTCCTTCAGTGTTGCATGTGAGCCTTTCTCACAATACACGAACGGCTACGCTGCACCTAAAAGATTCTCGACATGTCGCCCATTCGTCCCCATAATGCACTGCTGAACATGCAACGAAGACTGCCGACATCGCCAATGTGTAGCGGCATCGTCGTATCGGTCCAAGTTTCTTCCCCCATCTGTGCGTTCGTTACTTGGACAAAGTCATAACTGCAATCGACATACTCAGAAAGGAGCCTCTCCAGCCATGAGCGGATTGGCTGCCTCACAGACATCTTCCCAAGATTCATCCTCTTCCCCTTCCTCCTCAGCACTCAAACGAAGATATTCCAAAGCTGCGAATCTATCCCAATCCGTCAAATCTGGAGTTGCGTGTTCTTGTCGAATCTGCAGGGGGTCCCTTGCTTCAATCGCGAAAAATTTGTTCAGATTGAAGAGAACGTTGAAGAAGTTGCCGGCAAGCTTGCACTTTTTCAAGTCCCTTCTTCTGATTACAGGGGGTTTTACGTTGGGGTTGATCATGTCAAGCAACTGGCATAGAATATCTCGTATTTGGACTGGTTCGTGACCGAAGCACTCCATGCGGTGCAGCTGCTCCGTGTAGAAAAATTCCATGTCATACATTGTTATGAGTCCGTCACCGTCCATATCAACACAACGGAACCAGTAGTCGATTGCAGTATCACTCGTCTTGTCCTCTTCGCTAAGGCAAAACCAAATGAAATCTGTGTAAGACATGAACCCAGGATTCTCTGGGCAGTCTAGAGGACGTGCATAGCCACCAAAGATACGGTCAACGATGCGATACGTGAGGGAGTGACTCCCATATCGCATTAAATCTTCCCTATCAATTTGCAGGTCATGGTTGGCATCCAGCTCCCAAAAACGACAATACAAAACATAAAAATGTTCGTAGCTGAAGTATTTGCGTTCTCGGTTGATGTCTTCTTCTTCATCGACGTGTATCAGGGTTTCAAGCAGCTTCGATCGCTTGATATCGGTTAAAGTCAGCCTTCCGTTGTGCTGTCGCGTGCAGCCGAAGTAAATTCTCTCAATGACCGTTTCAGAATATCTCTGCTGAAACTCTGGGGTGGCGTGCAGAAACGCAAGTCCCTGATGGCAAAGCAATAATGCACGCAAGAGTGGCTTAAAGTCACTTGGGATCAAATAATCTCGATTTGCATGTGGTTCTCGCAATGCTGCAAAAAGTCGTGCTTCCCTTGAGGAGTTTGCGGCAATCTTGTTGTAGTACGCAGTAAACTGATTTTCCTCGATAGTTTCGTTACCAGTGCAACCCTGCGTTGCCCCTACCGCGTTGCCTTCGCCCGCGGTGGCAGGTTCAGCGGTTGGTGTCGAGTCGCCCTGGGCTCCGGAGCTGGCGTGAAATCCATTCACTCGCCGCCCATCTGTATGCATATCGTTAACATCCCCCATCGTGGTATCAGAGCTCGTTCCGCCGGTTTCATTTCTGGAGGGTGTCGCGTCCACTGAACTAGCAATGCTGACTTGTCCGGCACCGCTATCTCGTTGAATGACGTCGCGCATGGCAGTTTCCTCGTTCTGTGGCGCAGATACGTCCAGCTGATCGTCCGGAGTTTGCCGTGTCCGTTCAGCACTTGCTTGAGGAAACAACTCCAGAATAGCATTGAATACAATGGATGCGAAGTACGACGGGAGCCCAATTGCTTCCGCGACCAGCTCCGCGATCTCGGCGCGACTGACTCCATGCGCATTCTTCTGCACCCGATGGCTCTGAAAAAAGTCAATAATAGTCTGGCGTTCTTTGCTTTCCCTTTCTTCCGCATCTTTGCCGCATGGAAAATAAAACCTGGGAATAGACTTCATTTTCTTCTGAAGGGTTGTTGCATCCGTCATGGAGGTATCCTTTTGCGGCACAGAACGGGGTTTTAGGGGTGGCGTCGCGGAGGAAACGAGGCCTTCATCCATTGGCGATACCCCACTATCGAGGGCCGTTGCCTTCCCGAGCGTTTCATGCAGCTCGTTTTGTGATGACCCTAAAGAAGTCGTTTGCGCCGTCCTTGCTGCAAGAGCTTCAGCCGGTATTGAGTCTGGCTGAATTGCTGTATAGCTATCATTTGCATGACTTCCTCTCTGCTCTAAACGACCTTGTCCGACCGTCGTTCCTTTTTCCACTGAGGTCTTTGTGGATCCCGGCTTAGAGCCTCTGACTGATGTAGACTCTGTGGAACCGTGTGCCGAGGAAGCCACTGCGCTTGCAGCTTTTTCTTCCGACAAGACACTAAGCGCTTTATTGTGCAATGACTCTCCATCTGCTCTGCTGAACGCCGTTGCATCACGCCCGCCTCCTGATCCTTGAACAGGCGCTTGGTCTCTGCCAGCGGCAGCGGTCATCCCTGCTATACCATCTGCCACACGGTCCAGTGCTTTACTGTCTGCTGCAGGCCGGCGAACGCACTCTTCCGAAGGAGATGATACGGCGCCAGTGAGAGCCGACGGAGTCCTGCTATCCAGTCCTGCTTCCATCGGACGTCCCCCTGCTCCCGTGGCAGACGTAGAGAGGCTGTTCTTGTGCGCTGCGGAAACTGTTCTCTTCATAGAAGCAACCGAGTTCCGATCCTTCGCGTGTGACTGCTCATTTTCAAGAGGCGACGCTGAACCACTTCTGCCCAGGTCAAAGTCTGCAGCTGCTGGAGTCAAGGAAGGGCGGAACGACGATAGAACGCCGGGTGGCGCATTTGGAGGTGAATGTGGAGATGAATCTGAGTCTCCAAATGGAATATGATTTCGAAAAAGGCGGGAGACGGGCGAACCTGGAGCTTGCTGGGAAGATGCAGCAAGACCTGAAGGTGCTGCGGCCGATGGTGATCGAGATAGACTCGGGGATAAAGAGCGCTCCGTCCGCATTATACGACTTGTCTGTTCTGCTCCAATGTCTGGGGTCTTGCCTGCCCGGACATCATCCAGGAGCCCCATGAGCCATTTCCGCGATTCTGGGCGTGCGAGCCATTCGACAAACAGCTGATCAAGCTTAAACTTTGGCCATGCAGCACAATCCGAATTTGTAATAAGAACGACGGGAGGGGAAGGCAACGATCTCAGCGTAGGGGAGCCCCATTCTAGGGCTATTCGAGGCAATGCAGCCTGATGCGTTGATGGCGAAATTGATGTCCCCAAAATGTATTGAGACCCGGACGTTGGAGAGACACCTGATTTGTTGGCCTCTTTCCCATTCATGGGAGTAGTCATGATAGATACCTCCGGGTCGACTTCCATCATCACCTCATCAGTTCCTAACAGGTCCAACGGAATTCCCGGTCTTGCCTCGTGATGTTGCGTAGGAGGCGTAGTATCAATGTCCATGACTTGCAGAAGTAACCTCGCAACCTTCAATCAAGTTAAGAGTGAAGGCACAACAGGTCCCGCAGAATTATAGAAAACCAACTGTCAAAGATGAAACTAAAACGCGAGAGTTCCGGTACACGAGGGTGAAGTATATATTTGTATTAGCTGACAAAAGCCAATACGGGAACTTGTACGAGCGGATCACTTATCGTTCATTTAGTGCAATGAACCTGACCAGAAACTGTGGCCAGTTGGTCTACTGTGCGATGAAAGTATCGCCCACGTAGCACAGTCAGCGAAACTTGGGTTAGATATCTGAGAGAAAGATGCCGGGAAACCGAGTGGGAGCGAGGAGGACAACGCTCTCTCCAAAGTGACGCCAGGGGCCGAAGGGCTACGCCTTGAGGCAAGACTCGGTCGAGGTGAGAAGCGATCAAATAGATTTCAAGCGACGGTGGAGCGGACACGACTGGCGCGGAAACGGAGGCTTCTCACCAGCCGACCATGAAAAGTAAGGATAGCACAGCTGTCCTGGATTTCATTTTTGAAACTCCTGTGATGGCGCTGTGGCAACAGGGGAAACTCACCACAGAAGAGTAGCCATGGCCACATAAAATCACCTAAAAATTCAGAATAATGAATTTTTAGTCCCGGTCCAAAGTCAATGCCCATATTATATACATAGACTTTGGGCCGGGCAAAGGTCCGTATTTATATCTGTAACGGGTGCTGGGTACCCCTCAGATGTGTACCTATTGCCGTTTGATTCACACCGGGCCATTTCGGACCACTGGGACTGCTGTTGCGCCTCGAACCGCTACGAGCTACAGTACAGTCGACCCTAGGCATTAGTGCCGCCCGGTGTAAAGACTAATAATACGGCACTAATTCGGAGCGGCACAATCAGATGGCAGAACCACTACCCGGCCAGAACTCTGTTGTTGGAGTCTGCTGTTGTTGCCTTTGACCCTGTCTCTCATGCCTAGCTTCTAGAAAAGCTCGTTTTGCGGACCTCAAGTGCGATAAGGCATTGCTCACATCGCACTCCACACCCAGACTCTTCAAAGACCCAAACAACCTTGCTAGTAGCACTACAGCACTCGGTACGGCCCGCCTCTCCGTAATTTCACACTCGCCTTCTGCCACACAATCATCCATCATAGCATCACTGGCAGACTGATTCTGTAGCTCTCCACTATAATGTTGAATCGCAAGCATCACTAATAGAAGCTTCTGCCACAAGCTCATTAGTCTCGATCTCAATTCATTCCTCCACATCTTTCCTGCAGAATTCTGCAGTTTCTGCAAGGCCGTCTTCTGGCGCCAGGCTCAATCAAGTGAGCTTCAAGAGTGGGGTAATGAGCAGGGTGAAAAGTTTTTGTTCCGAGCGTTGTAGCGGTGTTGGTCACAATTTGTTGGAGTGAAGGAAGAGAGCGTTTTATGTTTCGGATGGTTCGCTCTGAAATTTTGAACTGACGCATAACTGTGGAATTCGCATTCCTGACCTGCAGCAGATGCCCAACCTCGATTACCTGTGCAATCGAAAGGCGCGTACGCTTCGCTTTGGCGATCTTTTCAGGAATCATGTTACGGTCTTTGAGTGAGGTGCCAGCACCAAGTGAGCTGAGGCGCATGAGGAGTGGGCGATGACGACGTCGTGCATGACACGTGGCAGAACCTGTGTCTGCCGGTTTTGGCAGCACTAATTCGAGGGTGGCAATAATAAAAGCGGCACTATTGCGCGTCCCCCCGCCCCCCCCCCCCCCCCCCCCCCCCCCCCCCCCCTGTACACGTACTGTGCAATATGACGGACACGTGTTACAAATCCAGTTGGCCAGAAAAAAATGTTGTCGAAATATTTCCTCTTTCGGGTGCCTTGAGCTGCCGTGACACGCATGATGCTGCGCCGTGACCGCATTCTGGAGAGCGCGGGAAATTACATATTACGCCATATGACGTGAAAAGCGAAAACATCTCTAAATATTGTTAAGTTTCATAGCGAAGATAGATGGTCGTTTACGGTTGGACCTCCCGCGCACCCGAGATATCAGCGGTAGCGAGAGTACTCTTGACTATCTATCGAAAAGTAAACAAAGAAAGAACAATATCAGAGAATAGACATGTGAGGGAAGCCCAGGGAAGGGCGTCCTGACGGGGACGGGTGCGCAAAAGAGAAATAGACATAGCCAAGAAGTCACGAGACTCTCACCCGGCCGTCGGCGATATGTAGGACAGTGCACGCTCGGTCGAATGCCAGGTGTCGGCATATCACTCGCTACTCCCTGGACAGCTTCACCCGCATACAAAAGTGTATACAGAGGCGAAGCGCAAAGCGGAGCCGAGTGTGCGAGCGATGCGGAGACGGAGGCGTGCTAGACTGCTTGGCCTTGGGGCAGCATATGCGCAAAGATAGGGCGCGACGCGGCGGTGACAGAAATATTACTATCAAAGTAGACCTGTAGCATCTCCATAGATGCCCAGGCCAAACGATTCATGATCCAAGCGTCTGTGAATCCGAGTCCTAAAAGCTCATTGTACGCCCCGATTTGCGCGCTGTGTGACGAATAAAAGAACCCATTTGGCGGAACAGCGCCAACACGCAGCAGCGACAATGACATGGCGTCCTTCAAATTCGTAGTCCCCAAGCGCGTTCCAGCTCGGAGGTTGAAGAAACCAGCATTGGCCGGTCGCTGTGTCTTCCACCTGAGCATCAACAGCCCGGGGGCATCCCATTCGGGATTGTGACGGTAGGAGAGTCGCACAGGGCGTTGATAAGACTTCGCTTTGCGATGCGTCAGGGCCACACCCACGCTAGCATCCGTGACATCAATGTCTTCTGCTGCCACGTGTGCCACGGAAACTGACCTGCATTGAAAAATAAATGCGAAAACGGCCATAGCGCAGGAGCCCACTTCCTCAACGACTTCGGTGCCCAAGCCAAACTCTGCCACACGCATCGCGATTGCGGCCCTAATCCCGATTCGTTTTCGCGCTTCAGGTCGGTCGCGATCGGTCTTGTTCATGTACGCAGTAACCATGGCAGACACTAGCAGGGAACGCGTCGGAGAGGGTAGCCCTTGAGTCTCATGGAAACGGGAGACAGCGCTGATATAATTGCGAACCGAGCTTGGACCTACCCTACCCTCCAGGTACATGTAACCCAGGAAAGCGAGCACGTCCCCTTCGTTTGCAGGCAGCGGATCTCGACCATCTTGATCACAGAACACCAACCACTTCTTAATCTGACTGCTCCTGTTTGCCCACGTCTGCGCCTTCCACCCATGCGACACCAGCAGCTTCGCCGCCACCTTTGCGCCCCCCGTCTCTCCTTCCATCCCCGTCCTTGCCAGCACCGCATCCCGGATCTCCGCCGTCCACAGCTGCGCTACCCTATCCTTGCCAACACTAATTCCCATGCGGCGTTCACAGGGCGCGAGCTTTGAAGCAACGGGGGGCCGTGGTCGGAAGGGCGAAGCACGATGAGCTCCTCTGCCAGCCCGCGCAAGCGCGCGTACCATGCTTGCGCTTGCCAGTGTGGGGCTATCAGCACCCCCTTTCCGCCCTCGGCCTGAATCTTCCTCACCACGAGAGGAAGGAAGTCGAATGGCGGATTCCAAAGACGCGCAAGGCCACCCCCCCAATACTCCCCCATCTGCGTCAGAACGTACTTCTTCCTGGGCACCAGCGTTTCCCCAACCGGGCGATCCTTGAAGACGACCTCCAAGAGGTATTCGTGCTGTATTGACCGCAACAAGCGGTCCGTAGCTCGTGCGTCTCCCGGGTCCCACGTTCGGGAAAGGGCGTCTGCGTAGCGATTCACGGCCGAGGGCAACCAGCGCGCCTCTATTGTCACCCCCAGCACCACGAGCATCTTCTGCAGCCGACGAAGCTCGACCATCATCGGCTTTGAAGCCGAGACCATGGCGTTCAGCACGTAGACGACTGCTTGGTTGTCCTCGTGTAGCAGCAGCCGCCTCACGCTCGGCTGGGAGACGTAGTCGACGAAGTGCCTCTGCAATAGAAGCCTCGCTGCCCTTAACTCCCTCAGCGTTATACTTGTCGCCCGATCCTCGGCCGTCCAGAAACCGCGACCCTCCCACAAACCCGGTGACCCAGCCTCCTCGTCGTCGCCTAAGGTCCCCATATCCCACGTCGGCGGCATCGCTGTGCATCGTTGCATGAGGGTCCAGCCTGTGGAGATCCCTGCCTTCTCCACGCGCCAATGAACGCCAATGTCGCAGGGTGCGCAGCGACTGCCGACAGAGGCGAACGCGACCCCGGCAACGTCTCTTCCTCTTCTCCCCGACCAGAGCGCCGTCCATGGTGTCCGAAACCCTTTCGGCGGCTCCGCCTCCGGCCCCTCGCTGGGG